AGTTGGAAACAGCGGGCTTTAGAGACAGCATTTTGGAAATTTTCTCTGGTTACGCGAGAGCAGTTTTACTCCGAGGCGGAAAGCACGAGTTTGAACCAAGGCTGGGTCTTTAACAACCTCCCCTTTCAAGCCTTTGCGTCTCTTTTCTAGAGCTGCGTTACTGCTGACGATAACCAGAGACAGCTGCCACTCCTGTGCCGAGGACTATGTCCCGAATGCTAATCGTCACAAACAAAAATCACATGTAGAGAATGTGACACGCATGGCTCTCGGTGAGGTGACACGGTGCCCAAATTAAATCGGGGTGATCATTTTTAGGCATACAATGACAAACAGGTACAGGAACACTCAGGAACAGAAAAAAAGAAAAAAAAAACCAAACAACTAAAAAATGTCATTGGTTTCAAGAGGTCAGCACCGGTAAGGTGAGCGAAGCACAGAGAGGAACATCAGAAATTATCCAGGCAAAAAGAAAACAAAAAAAAAAAACCAAAACAAAAACTGGGTTGCATCTCCCAACTCATCACAGGACTCCAAGCCGCCTCCTGCCTGCCCTCCAGGATCCCCGCATCCTTCGGGTACACGGGATGACTGACTCACTGACTCACTGACTGACTGGTGACGAACATGAGCTATGCATGTACACTGGCAGCTTCGGGATGGGTGTGTGGCAGTCGATGGGATGGCAGAAGAGAGAAAGAGAGAGAAAGAGAGAGGGCAGAATTGTTCTTCTTCCTCTTACCGTATCCTTGGAGGACCTACGTCTCTTGAAGCTGGAGGCCAGGGTGGAGGTGATGGACCTAAAAGTGGCTTTCTTTTTAGGGTCAGGTTCTGCTCTACCACTTTTTCTATCCTAAAATGAATATGTATAAGTGATTAGATCTCTAGTGTGTTGTTGGAAACGCTAAATCTATTTGAATACTGCCCCGTGTCATGTCCTTCATTTGGGTGAGAAAGCTACTGGAGGTGTCCTGTCACTCCCAGTCCTCCAAGGGCCTCCGTGACCCACGGCTACAGCACGGCCGCCA